TTTTTTGTATTCTTTCATGAATATAAATTGAATAAAAACAGTGTTTATTTCAAACAGAAATCTTTAATAATGTAAAAGTCTTTATTATCACTTTTGATCAATTTAATGCATCCTTAAAAGTAGAAAGTATTAATTTATTTAAAAATTTTACTAACTCCAAATAGTTGAACATCAGTGTACATTTCTAACAGGTGGAATGTACATAAACTAATTATCAGTTAAGTAAGAAATAATTGACGACGGGCCGTTGAATTATTAGAAAAAGAATGCACACCCGAGGTGGTGATGTTACACAAGGTTACACCTCGGGTGTTTCTAACAGTCGGTATGTACACAAACGAATTATCAGTTAAAGTCCCCCTGTAGTCAAATATTTTATCCCTTAAAACTTATCTTTGATCATCAAAACTACATATTTAAATGTTTTTTCTTGTGAAAATAATTTTCTCATTCCTTAAAATAGCTTGAATGTAACTCTACACCCTTGCCTCATTTACTATACGCGGATCTATGAATATGCTAATTAGTCCCGCCTCCACTCAGTCACACAGCGAGCGCCTCTTGACCCACTGAACTGTAGTAAACACGGACAATGACTGATAAAACTATATTTTTTACTAGCGGAAAACTACAGTGAATACTGTAACATTCGTTAAAGTTACTTACTTGACGATGTTGTGTCCTAAAATGCCTTGAAGACCGGAATGCAGCCGTTTGTGATTGTTAATTCGCGCCGGCGAGCGCATACGCATGTGAAGTGCAGACTCCGGGCTACTTTTACACTGTTGCCACGGGTTATAATGCAAGTTAGCGGTCCTAAATTCACATTAAACCACAGCTTCATGGGTTTTTTGCTTTAATTTATTTTTGGTTTTGTGCTGGTATTGGTATATTTTGCATGCTAGTGATAGGAATCAATCCCTTGACGTGATTGGTTATTGGTTTGTGACGTGGCAAACCGAGGGCTGTTTCAAACCATATTTCTGGGTCAGTCTTTGGGAAACTACAGTTTTAAGGAGAAAATACTCAGCAGTGGTGTTGATTAATAGATTGGCACATGGTTTGTCTAAAGGCATATTAAAAACACCATATAGACAAATAAACAACATTAAAAAATTTATTTTCACTACAGGGGGACTTTAAGTATATTTAATGAAATATTTGAATGGCAGAACGCATTTCTTAATTGTTAACAGCTCTACTGGAAATTGATTTGAGTGCCAAACAATATGACTGTCCTCACCTTTACCATTTAATAAATAAAGACAATTTTATATATTACATATATTTATTTTTAATTCATGTGTCCCTCTCAGATTCCACCCGCCTGCAGTTGTTGGGATTATGGGCAGCGCGGCTGCTACGGCTAAACTTTTGGGTCTCCCGGCAGCCCAGAGCATAGCAGCTCTAGCGATAGCCTGCTCATCCGCTGGAGCACCCATGGCAAACGCTGCAACTCAAACCAAACCTCTCCACATGGGCAATGCTGCCCGTGGGGGTCTGGAGGCCTCCCAACTTGCTCTCCTCGGCCTGGAGGGTAACACACAGATTCTGGATCTGGAATCAGGCTTCGGGGCCTTCTATCCAGATTATGTCCCTCACCCACTGGCTGAGGTCACCCCTACTTCTCATTACAGCTGGGTGTTAGAAGTCCAGAACATTGCACAGAAGCGCTTTCCCGCCCATCTCGGGATGCACTGGGTGGCGGATGCAGCAATAGAAGCAAGGGCGAAATTTTTGGACAAATACCCAAATGCAGATCTCAGTCAAATCAAAAAGATCACTCTCAGAGTGCCCTCATCCAGATATGTAGACTGCCCTCTTCCGCTTAGCGAGCACCAGGCCAGACACTCATTCCAGTTCAACTGCTGTACCGCACTGCTGGATGGAGAGGTCACAGTCGACTCCTTCAGCAAAAGCCAGATGAACAGGAGTGCCCTAAAGGAGATGCTTCGGAAAGTACGGTTGGAAAATCCACAAGACAATCACTCGAGCTTTGAAAAAATGTATTGCGAAATTGCAGTGGAGACAACTCAGGGGGAAACGTTCTATGCGCGCTGCAACACTTTTTACGGTCACTGGAGGAAACCACTTAGTCATGAGGATCTGGTGAGGAAGTTCAGGGCTAATGCTTCGACTGTGCTGACCGCTGATGTTGTGGAGGGTATTATTTACACTGTAGACCGTCTGGACACAAATCAAGACTGTTCAATGCTTTGGTCATACATGCACTTTAATAAGCATGTGATGCACAGAGATGAGCGCCGCTACTCATCTTTGGCCTGAATTATTGTGCAATGTGGCACCATTTACGTTAACAGAAAGTATCATATTGTCATATTGAAACCTGTCATTACTTTGTTCCTTATATTCTCACTTTGGTGGATTTGTACCACATACAGTTCTGAAATACTTCCTAGCAACCTTTGATGGTGAATATGATAAACGTGTAAACTCTGATGAGGTAAAAGCATGAAATCCACTTTGGTGTTGTGACTTAAATCTGCATTTTATATTACAACCAAATTGTTATTTACTCACCAAAATTTCATTTGGTGATTAGCAAGTATTCATTTTGGGCCTTGTCTATATATTTGACAAGCATTTGGAGTGTATTCTGGCTACCCTACAGTATTTCTGCAATGTCCGATTTTTTTTCAAATACACAGCATTTAGTAATAGTGTTCTTTCATCAGATGTAGTTTTCCCCAGAAAGTGAAGAGTAAGTTCCTTTCACTTGTTAAACTGAAAGTGGAGGGAGAGAATAGTTTTGTCCATTTTCACTTTTCTGAATGAAAGGTTTCACATCGTTTTTTTCTTGTTTTTACATCACTATATTTTCTGTTCTGTTTCAGTTTTTGTTCTATTCCATGTTGAAATTATCTTTGTTGTACATTTGTTGTTTATCTAATAAAGTCATTTACATTTGAAAACGTTGTTGTTTTTGAAAGTCTCTTAAGCTCAGCCAGGTTGCATTTATGTGATCAAAAATACAGTTAAAACAGCAATATTGTGAAATATTAAAATTTTAAATAACTGGTTTCTATTTTAATATACTTTAAAATTTAATTTATTCCTGTGATGAGATTTTTTGAAAAGAATTTTCAGCAGTCATTACTCCAGTCTTCAGTGTTACATGATCC